TGAAGTAAATTCTATATAAATTTATTTATTTATAAAAGTGTTTATAAATTCTCCTATGTGTTTAGGAGATGTGTAGACATATTTATGAGGCAGATTTCTATATTCAAGCGCTCTTTACAAAACGTAATTTGGCTTGATAAATGTTTTTGGAGAACATATTTTTCCGTCACCAACCAGAAATTTGACTTTCAATTCGATTCATTTTTTTTAGACTTTACCACCACAAATACATAACGAGAGTTCTTTTTAAGTAGGACTACAAACAATAGTATAAACATTTACATGGTTAAATTGCACTAAATGTGTCTCAGAACAATTCATCTTTAATATACTACCCTGCTACCCTTAAATACTGTATTTTAATTTAGATTTTAATTAAGAAGTGGAACAAAACATTTAGTAAGTAATGGCTCAACCATAAAACTACTTAAATCCATTATCACATGAATAATTGAATACATATATTACAAGACTAACAAAATAAAATTTACATTAACCTAATAACTAATCAAGATAGTCTTGCTACGTAAAATCCTAATCAGACAATTTATCTTACAAACTAATCATATGAGTAATTTAACACAATAATTACAGCTATTTCGGGCGATATTGCAGGCTTATCTCTAAAATCAACGTGATCAGTAGAAATGGCGACCGTGACACTTTGGGAAAATAAGTTACGTAATAAATTTTATTTTATATCAATTAATAACAAATTGTACATTTATTTCATACAACGTCGATATAACAATTTTCAGGTAACTAGAACTAGATTGTAAACACATTGAATGAGTTGTAACGTTGGTATAGTTTTAGTTTATACACATACAACTGTTGAAATTATATGAAATGGGCTTATTTAATAAATTATATGTAATTTTACATAGGTGAACATGTAATATTATCCCATAAAAATATTAATCGCAAAAATTTTACTATGACTACCAATTGAGATTGGGTGCAACTGGCTTTAAACAAATATAAATACTGTAGAATACATTAGACAAGCTTAAAATGGTTAACAGAGAGAGATGCATTGTTGCTTAATATCGGTTACTTAATAAGATCAGCTGTTTAATAAAATTTAACAAAATCAATGTCAACGTTTTACTCATATTTTGATAAATTAGAGAAGTAAAAAAGGCTAATTAATTTTGGCTCGTGCAAAAACGGCATTTAAAAATTAAAGTAAACAGCATAGAAAAAAATTACCTGTCAAAATTTACTGCTATATTTTTGTAACCGGTCCATGATAAAAATGAAATTAAGTGTACAGTTACTTTTGGAGAACACAGGAAATTGCACTTATGAACCTTTGTTTACTTCCAGCTGTTATGATCAGCTGATTTTTCAAGGTCACAAATCAGCTGTTTCTCAATAGCGGGAGCGTTACCCGTGAACTAACCTCTAAGCCACCATTGTCAATGTCACCTGGTAAACATTTTATTCCCATATAATACAGCTGTTGAGATAATAATATTGTCCTGAGTTTAATCAAATTAAAGTGATTCAAATAAATGTATAATAATTTTAGGTATAAGGTTACTGAATTCATTAAATAAATTTCAAATTCCGTAATGTAAGATACAAAACCATTTTTATCTGATGTTACAAATTGCTAAATGAAATGTTACGAAAACAAAAACCCCAGCACGTCGAGTTTCAGAGTAATGGAGGGCAATACGGCATAAAAAGAAATCAAGTATACACGTTAAAATCTTATAAAATATTGTAAATCACATAATTGGTCTCAAAAGCTTAAAAAATAGAGACTCTCATATACAATCTCTTTGATTAGATTTGTATTTCTTGATTTGCATTACCTACGATTTCATGGTGTCCAAAAATAAATAAACAATTTTACAAAAACTCACTAAAAAACTATATTAGTATGTTCTGTTTTAGCGAATGTTCTATATTTATATAGGAGATGAAGCTATTGCCGTAGGTCTCATGTTAAGACCTCAATTTATTTTTCGTGTTGAGGTCCCCAGAGGCATAAATACCATCCACATGGCCATCATTCTATATATAAAAAAGACTTCATTATCTTAAATGTAGCAGCAAACCTACATGCTCATAAAACCTAATGTTTTTTAAATAGTAAATACACCTAACTATTCTTTGGTAATTTTTTAGTGATAAATGTGTGGAGACTTCACACTTTCTGCTGTGGGGGTGTTTTATTTATCCTATTTCATATTGTGAAGTTAATTTACTCAATTTCTTTAGACTGCGTAACGTTCTCCTGATATGTAAGGTTCACAAAGTGGTTTTATTATTCAACTAATATGTAACATTTTTAGACATATTGTGACTGTTACGTCAAAGTGTATTCCAGAAAATATTTTGCACCAAATAAAATAGTTCTATGTTGAAGTATAAAACAATATATGCACTTATGAATCTGTTAAAAACCAAATCAAATCATATTATTCATGTAACGCACAATGTGTACATTGTATACCGTTATTATATGACTCCAAAGTAGAAGTGAAGGAAAACACAAACTAAGTTTGAAACTAACCAAGAATATGGAAATAGTCCTACAGAAAAAAGTTTAAATGCCTTACAAACATGTATCTCTTCTTGTTGTGGCTAGGTAGATGTGTAAGATCACATCTACGACTAAATTTAAGTCATAAACCCTTTTTAACAACACTATTATTTCCTACTTGAACCCATACTGTCCCCGCGTAGGTATGCTATGAGATCATTCGGGTTTTACAGTGCCAACTGCACTTCAGTTGGTGTAAGCGAGTTCACTAATTGCTGGAAACCAATTTGAAAGCACGTGTTTGTAAATAATCTGTCACTTGGCACTAAAACAGTCGAAGTACTTCAACTTCGAAGCTTTGGAACTGTTAAAATACTTAGCAGATTGATCGAGGTCGATTTCGCGTAGGTGAAACAGCGAAACTTTAATTGAAATGTTCCAGGTTTTAACAGATGGGAATAAATGATACACATTGCATAACAGTTTCGCTATCGACGGTAATGTTAATTATGTTTAAATAGAACTATACATTCCATTCCCACGTTAAAGGCGACAGTTTCAGATTATAAAAATAATTTAATTTAATTGAACTCTATTTTATCCAACTTCTTATCGAACCCAAACTGAACGTTTAAATGTTATATATTCCATAGAAATTAACATTGCATACACTATTAAGAGGGAATTTTATTTTACTTTAGGTCATTTTGTTCTTATTCATATTTGAAAACTAAAATTATGAATCTTGTCCATAGAAATGGAGTCTATTCTATCTAAAAATCCAAATAATTTGTCACAGACTACACAGTTGTATTTGAGAAATCGTGCCTAGTCAAATTAATATGTAAGTTTTAAATTATAGACATGATAAACGAAAGGTTCTAAATTATATTTAGCTAATAAAAGCGTACGTATCTGAAATATCTGTTGGGGCTTACTAAAAGCTAGAAATTTCATAAAATATAAAGTTACGTTGTTTTATAGTTTGAAATTAAGATAACAACTCAATAGTTTCACTTAAACAGACGGTTTTCATTTAAGAAAACTAGGGAGTTTCGTTTACAATTTCAGTTCAGACTGCATACACAGTAAGAACGATAATTGGTTTATAAATCAATTCGTTTGTAAATATAATACGTTATTGTAAATTTTTCTTCTCCCCATGCTGAAAACAGCATTACTATTCACATTTTAAACGTTAAATATTTCCAAAGCCAGTATTTCGGTTCGTGAAAAAATCATGTTGAGACTCATCGTGTATAAAATGCAATCTTGAAAAATAATCATATCGGAACATAACATATTACAAAGCAAACAGAACGAATTACTTTGAAATCTCCTTTAGTTGATAATTTTGTGTTAGCATTTTGATTAGAGTACCTCAGGAAACGAGGGGACAAGGCTCAATCTTCTAGGAAACTAATTTAGTTCCAGGATTATTATCTTGTCATACTGCACTTTATTCCGGTTTGTAGACAGTTGACAAACGAACCTATGGCTGCTTACTTTGACAGTTTATTTCTGAGAAACGACTGTGTAAAAAGGACACGGTCTTTGCGAAAGCCAAATAGACAACATAACAGTAGTTTCTAGAATTTAGTTGATAACATTATTTTTATTTTAGATACCATCATAGTTTTGCGGTTCAAAAAGCAATACTTTGCGTTTTTATGGATCATGTCAATACCCTTGTCTTTGTATCAATTGTTGACATTTACAATTAATAATTATAAAATTAATTACCAAAAACTACGGGTTTCCACTTCTAAAAGTATTTATAAATTATACAAACGAACATTATCATTTGCAGTGTGTCATTTATCTATTTTAAATTAGACGTTTTTGCTTCGTACTGTACTGACGCAAGTTAAATAAAAAAGTCAAGATTTAATGTATCGGAACATACGTAAAACTGGCTAATGAATAGTTTTTCATTCTGCAAAGTCTGTGATTTCTGTATAAGCCTTCATCTTATCTGTGAAACACCTTATTAGCTCTAAAAAACCTCATTATTTTGGAACTTCTCATTAAGTCAATGTTTATCTGCATGGAAAACATACTGTGACCCTCATTACATTTATAACTAACAAAGATTGATTCGTTGTGAACACAATTTATGAAGAAAGGCTTACTGTATATAAAAATTTGTTATTCTAAAATTATTTATTATGTGTCACAATTTCTGCTCTGTCGTGATAAAATAAAATTTAGTCCATCTTAAACGTACACATATTTAGGATTTTCAGTATGAATATTTATTTAATTCGCATCCATGATGGTGTTCGAAAATAATGTATGACATCATACTGTGTTTTTTTTTGTGCTGTGCATATTTAATTCTACATTATGCACAACATTTCTCACATACATTACTTAGACATCACACGGGGTAATAATAACTGTTGTAAATAAAAATTTGATAAATTCGTATAAAACCAAATTTAACTTTCGGTGTAAAATAAAAAATATATATTTAATCAAAATAAAATTGAAAATTACTTACGTTCTCAATGTGGTTAACTGATATCAACACCGGTAATCGTACACGAACACTGACTATTCGCCACCACACCGCGAGGGAACCGTCGTGCAAATGCGCGAACGACCAACTGTCCAACAACGCTTGCGAACGCTGATGCCTAGCGTTACAACTGTGCGAGCGGAAAGTTCACCAAGCAGCCGCTAGGCGCCGACACAGCGCTGCAGTATCACTCCCCTCCCCATGATGCACTGCGCGTGCGCAATGAGGGGGTGAGTTGAATCTAGGTTAGGTTCCTGTTTGTTATTGTTGAACATATACTTATCTACGTCACGCATCCACGTTTGTTGGCTTTCAAGAGTTCAAAGAGAAAATAAAATACATTATATCCACGAACACAAGCTCAAGACTAGCTTCCGGAGATAAAAAAGTAAAAATATCTTCAGGATCTCTTAAAAAAAAGGTGATAGGCTACAAAATTAGCGAAGATAAATGGATATAGCAGCGAAACAATAGGTAACATGTTTAAAACAAAAACTCTAAGAGAAGACTTTAAGCTTGAAAAGAGAAAATATATGAATTACTATGTATATTTTACACTACCATATTTAACAAGACATATCGGAAACCATTTAACACCTAACTCTACAGATTATCACACACAACGAGGGAAAAAATAAAAGAATTGTATGTATACATTTTAACTCTCAAACATTGACACAACAACCAATAAGTGATAGTGAACTTATAATTTTATTTATAATAAAAAATCGAAATACCATTGGTAATTTTTCTCTAGTTTAGCAACCCTGTTATGGTCGGAGACAGCACGAGATCTTGGGATAATGACGTCATCCCATGCTTCAAGGTCACCCACCGTAGTGTTCCGCTATATTGTTTACGTGATTTAGATATCGTTAATAACTTAACAAAGTTCCGCACTTTGATGTTTGATTTGTTTACTTCTTTTCAGACAAAGTTCATCTTCCCTAACCATTTAAATCGTCTAAATTTATTGTTATTTTTTTAATTTATGCCATAAAACCACTTACCTACAATATTTATTGTGTTTTAGTTAGGTTTAAGTTTTTCCATAACTCAAATATTCATATGGATTTTGTATTAGCTTACCTATTCAATAAAACAATGTCTTTATACTCAAGCGTCGCCACGGGGAAATAGCTTAAAAGAAAAAGTGTAACGTAGTTCTAAATAATCAAAGTTAGAAAACAGTTTCCCCACCCATCTTTTATCGTAGAAGCAAAACTTAACTGTACAATCATTCATCATCTATTTAAATCCTCACCATTTTTAAAACAATCAGATGTTTAGTAGGGTAATTTTGTTTCGTTAGTAGGAATGTTAAAAAGAACAATTTTTGATCAGATTTTTACGGAGTTGACACACTATCACAGTTCGTGCCCATTAAAACGACACTCCCATTCTTAAATGGCTATTTCAGTCACATATACATTTTCAACCGTGTAAACAAAGTTACAAGGGCAAACAAAATCAATGTAACAAAACATTATAAGAAAATGACATTGTTCGAAGTAAGAAAAAGTGGTGTTAAGCAAATTAGATTAATCTATGCGGAAGACCTCTATAGAGAGAAATGAAAGGAGGAAAAATGGAGGACGAAAAAATGGAGAAAGAAAAGCGAAGGACGCGTCTGGCACGACTCTAAGCAACAGACAAGATATAGTTATTGATAGCTTCCGTGGTATTGATCAGGGCGGTACACGGTAGAGACTATTTCAATGGGAAGAACAGGAGTAAATTTTCTGTATCAGATTATTTGCAGGAGATTATGTTTTACTACGCAAACACATCAAGGTTCGTAGGTACTAAAAGGCTAAGATGGGTGAAGATATTGAATTAATGAGATGATAGCTTTGTTACTGACTAAGATCAGCCATCTTTTCTTTAGCCAAGAAAAATCCCAATAATCAAGGACAGCTGGGCTTAGTTTCGTACATCAAAAGCCGTTGACTTTTCGACGGATCGAATTGACAACCTTCTGGTAGGTGAGCTTTACTCCACCTAGAAATCCAGGTGTGTCAGTGATATCTATATAAATAAAATTAGAGTTTTGTCTGTACATTGCTCAGAATCATACATTTTTATGTTATTTTTACGTTTTATACATTAAAGAAGCCGAAACAAGTCTCATCTAAATTTCTGTCTGTCTGTCTGTCTGTCTGTCTGTCTGTCTGACACACTCAAGATGGTATTTTACGCAATCTTCTCCAGGAAAACGAGAGTACCTATCAAGACCCAAGTCATTTTAATGTATTCACTGGATTAGCGAGAGTGTCTTTAGCCATTAAAATATGGCCTCACTACTTTGTAATTAAAATTACTGACGTTCAAAAATGCAGTTTTGTGCGATTTTTGTCAAGTTTTCGTCCAATTTTTTCCACATAATGATCCATGAAATAACGAACAGCTGTTCGGATCAAGATTATTTTTTCTAGCTGTCACTGAAATGTTTACAAATGTTGTTTACAAACACCACAACCATTTCCGATCACGTTTTGAAGGCAAATCCCATCCAAGTGAGATTAAAAACGTTTTTATTACATAAAGGATTTAATTAATCGCAAGTGGAATAATATAGTGTGTTAATATAGTGTATAACTAGGCATCATCCAGGCCAGGAACCAGAGATATGTGTATAAAATTGTTTTGGAGTTTTGATAACCAGAAAGAAGACATTGAATCAAGATTGAATCAGTGTTGTATACGGCTGGGAAACTTAAATTTACTAATGACCGTCGCCAATAGCTTAGAAACAATGTTCCACTCATTGACGGCTCTTCAATGGCGGTTGTGTAAAGTGTAAAGCAAAAAATTACAACTGCAGTGGGTGATTGTAACAGAGGTTTACGGATGATGCTGAACTCGATTTTCCAATGTGTCACTTTCTGTTCTTACCATTGACTATATAAAGTCAATAGTTCCTACTCACCGTGTGATGCAATCGCTGGACCATACAGCCAATAGGCCCATAGCCCTTCTCTAGGGTACGTGTGGTACGTATGCTTACACAATTATTTATAACAACCCTTTCGACAACGATCCTTGATACCGGTACTTTCCATAGAATACACGGCCTACCTAGGTATTTAAGAAATAAAATTATAAACGTCCAAAAACCCAACGTTGTGTGATTTTTGTCACATTTCCTTATAATGTTAATAGATATACCAGCAACCATTGTTTAGAGAATACGTAATCTACTAAATAACAGAAAGTTATGTTGTATAAGGTTGTTTTTTTTTTCAAACTGACACCGATAAGTTTACATTAAGAGTTGTGTACAAATAAAGCAATTAATGGGAAATAACTTTGATTGCCGATAACCTTTTACGAGAAAATCCAAAACCAAGAGATCAATAACCTTGATTAACGCATAATTGGTCGGCTGTACTACAGTTCTTAACTGTAAACGTTGGTTTTTGGTACGGTACTGGTTCTTTTCCTCTTAACCTTTAGTAGCAGCAAGAATCATTTTTACGTACATACACATCACAGTAATTTACAAATTAGTTATCGTTGGTGTTGCACCTTATTTATTACAGGCGTAGGCCTATTCAATTTAATTGATGTCTTAACTGTATAATTTTTGTTTTTTTCTGTCTGGATTCCAAAATGTTAGTTTATGCTAAGAAAACTATAACGCATTTTAGTAAAACATTTATTCAGCAAACCATCATGAATTGTTCAAACGCTTTGAACGTTGTGTATGTATCAATCGTTCGTGGCCTATTTTGGTAATTTGTATTACAAATTACCAATCTAAATCGTCTATAGTAGGCCTACTGTACTTTTTCATATAGCAAACCGATTCAGATAGCATTTCGACAGAATTTTGAGTCATCTCCGGTCCAAGCAAATATAAATTGTTATGATCAAATTTTATGGCCTACAATAAAGATTTCAAGTACTAATTTTATATGTACTTTTTTATGCTTAAAGCGTAGCAGATTCCCTAATTAAGTTCGGTATTTTTGTGTGTATGTATGATGGTAACGCATTAATGCCATTGTTTGTCAATGTTTCACGGAAAGGACAAGAGCGCCTTGATAATGAAAATGTCAACCCGAATAAAGTGTTAAATTAAGAGGTTGAGGTAGTACCTTAAATACTTTTAACCATTATGTTATAGTCCTTTAAATTCTGAACAAAATTGTACAAATCCCATTTCCGTATATTTACTCTCACCGCTTACACATGATAAAGGTTGTTGACAAACTTATGGGAGAAAGTATGTGTCAGAATGCTGATACCGTTTATTTAGTTTAATCATTGGATATAACATATGGACCAACAAGATCCGGGTGACATTTAATTGCGAAGCATTAGTTTTGGCTTGAAACTGTCAGATACTGTATTTGCGAAGGAATAGTTTTGTCAGCATATCTGAAAGTATGCAAACAAACTGTTGTGCTTTATATAAGAAGGTTTTAACTGACTATGATAAGATCCCCGTGCGTAGAACGGGCACACAGCTAGTAGTAAGATAAGTGAAAATAAAGCTATAGTATAGAAATCGTGTTATATGCAGAGATTAAAACATTTAACAACTTTAATGGTTTTACTATTCCCTATGCAATAAGGGAAGACAAGAAAAGCATGTATCAGTTGAGAACAGTATCTAAATTCGGAATCTCTTGCAGAAAATATCCCAACGATTTTCATTATGACAAATAAGTGATGCCAAACTAGGTGCTTTCTGATAAAACATTTGTCTAACTTTCATTATTGAATTTCAATAGTGAAATGTAAGTATACTTTTTATCTCATTATAAATCTAAAAATTGTTTTAGGTGTGTTTTATATTGATAATAAGAGTGATATAAGACGTATTCTAATACATTTTAATATATTTACAATTATACAGTAGGTCTCCTTAACTACAGGACGGAAAATGTATCGCGGAATACAACAGTATATTAAATTATGTATGTAAAACTATGTATGTTAATTTGTCGTTGATTCCAACCAATATCAGTAGTCATCTTAAATTGGAGACATAATGGTATTCAAATTTTAAATTGATTCTCAGTAAAATTTCACGAGCACTTTTTACATACATTTTTTGTCAAACTGTTTTCAACACGAAGCATCTGGTGTTTATCACT